TGTCGCGGGCCCCCCGCAGCCCTTGCAGCGATTTCCCCTAGGCGGCTGGTCCAGCCGCGAGACCGCGGGGCGCAAACGCGCAGCTCTTAACCGGCTTGCAGCCTGGGTGCGTGCGTGTTGCAGGGACTGCGAGTGAAGGATTACGAGCAGGTAACGGGGAAGGGGGGGACCAGCACGCTCCCCTCCTGCCTGCTGTTCTCTCAGTCTCCGTATTGGGGAGGGATTTTTTTTTTTCCCCCTTCCTAGGGAGGAAGAGAAGATTTGATTCCCAGGGAGTTTTCTGATTGTTTTCCCGCTGCCGCTCCTTCCCCTCCTCCTCTCTCAGTACCCATAAGGCTGCTCTCGTTGCTCTGTATCATGATGCAAGGTTACTTGTAGGACACGCGGCTCTCTGCAAGGTGCGGCGGTAGCCTGCAACGGGGCTGCCCCTCCCCTCTCCTTTTTTTCGGCCCGCAGCCGAGCGTCTGGGTAACGCGAGGTTGGTGCTTCTGTTGCAAAAGCCCCTTTCCTGCAAAGCCTGCCTGGAAAAAGAAAGAAAGAAAAAGAAAAATCACGTAAGGCCGAAACTTTGACAAGCAGTGCACGAGGTTGGTTAATTCACAGGGGCTGGGCTGGAGTCCTGTTGTGATGTTTGACTGAAAGAAAAGGTTTTGCCCTGTTTTGGTCCTCTCTTCCCTCCATTTCACAGTCTAGGGAAGGTACATGAATGCTTTTTTTATATTATCACCAGCCCAAGCAAATGGTAGTACAATACTTGAAGATGAATGCAAAGCTCCCTCCCACCCACCCCTTGCACGCACTCCTTCCTGGATCAGGCTGCGGTTTGAAGTTTTAAGTTGGTTTTACAGAAATTGGAGACTGAGCGGAGAGAGAAAACCCTTGCCTTTGGGTTTGAGCACAGGTCCAGATGCTGTTTTATCAGCGCTCACTCATACAGCCGGCAGGTGAGTTCAAGGAGACGTTTTCTGAGCATGGCAGAGGCCTCATTAGCTCGCTGGGACTCAAAAGCTTGTGGGCTGTTAGCTTGGCCCAGTTTGTGTTCCCAGGTGTGCAATGACCCCTGTAACATATCTCCCACCTGCAAATCATGCCCTAGTATATATATATTCAAAACACTTCAAGTCTCACGTTTGGGTTCAGGTATTTAAGCCTGCTTTTGGAGCACCTAGTTGTACCCACGCAATGCTTTTTGGCAATGCTGTGATAAATAGTGGGCAGTTTGTGTAGTTTAAAGGTGCTGCCCAGCCTGCTCTCCCCGTGCTCTTCTTCTCCAGCAGCACAACCCCTCGCTGATTGAAAATCCTTCCTCTGTGGAGGATCGAAAGCTCAGCCCCAAATTAACACTGCTAGGATGTGCATTCATTTTTGAGGTGACACTAGCATGCTTTGTACAGAGCAGGATATCTGCAGCGACTGATCTCCTACTCTGCCTCCTCTCAGCTGTGCCTTGAATGATATAGTGGCTGTAGCTTGGAGAGGAGATGCTGTCACCTCTTCGTGCTCTTTTTTCCGTGTCAGAAGTGAGAGAGGTGTAGTGCTTGGCCCAAGAAACCTTGAGGAGGATGAAAACACCGTGGCAAATATCAACGAGAGGGTTGGTCACATAACTTGGAGTAATCAGCATGCCACTATACCTTCCACCAGATCCCACCTGTTCTTCACAAGTGAAGCACAGGTGTGTGTCTGTGTGTGCACGCGTGTGCTTGCCTTTTGCTTTTCAGTTACCTCTTTGGACAAACTGAGATGAATCGTGTCTTTAAGGTGCCATGCACACCATGCAGACCTTGCCTGAATTTCCCGGAAGCCTTTGCTGATGGTTTTGGCTGGTGTTGCGTCTCTTTCTCTGGGCTCAGCCTCCTCTTTTTAACCTGAGATCCCTGACCACTGAATGCCAACCTACAAAAGTGAATGCCAGGAGTGGGGATTAAAGCCCACATCAAAGTGAGCGGAGGAGACCCTGCCAGCACTCCTAACCCCTCATGCACCTGCACAGAGTGTGGCTCATTCTTTTAGATGTGGAGCCAACTGGTATTTACTGCTGATTTAAATCTCTTAATGCTTCATTGACCAAATAATAATCCCCTATAGAATTAGAGTGAGGGTCTCAAAGATGTGGACAAACGTTAATGTAGACTAGGAGCATCCTCGTGAGCATCCTCATGAGCAAAGGAGCTTTGCATTGCTTGTTGATCAGGAAGGTAAACTGAGGACCACAAATAAAGTTTCCTTCCTAAAGCTCAATATTTTAGTACGCAGCTCTCTTTCATTTATTCCATGTCTTGGAAATGACACTCTGGAATAAGGGAGCTCGTGCACTTCAGTTTGGTTGCAACCATAGGAAGATACCTGTCCATCTTGGGATGAAAATGCTTCTCTTGTACTTTCTGAGTGGTCCAAGTAAGCCGTCCTTGACAGCATGGCCATATTTCCCAGCGAGTGTTGTAACACACTGACGGTGCAGCTGAGTGTCTTTGTCCGTATTTCTCCCTGCACCAAATAGGTGCCTCTGGATATATTTCCCTGAAATGTTATATATCGTGAACCCCGAGCTGCTTCCTTTAGATCCCTCTTCCTTTTAGCACTATATAATGAGAAACGTTGCCTGCTTGGGATTTACGATGTAACTGGTATTTGGAAGGGTTAATCTGGACAAGTCTTGGAAGGCCATCTTCCACCCTGTCTCCCCACACCTTCCCCACTCCCTTTCTTTTATTTTTTGGACGGGTAGCCTCAAATTTCTGTAATCTAAATGTGCAAATGCTTTCCAGTCACGGTCCAGTAGCTGGGTTAATCTCAGACCCCTGGAGTGGCAGATGGCTGATTTGTTGCTGATTCCAGTTACAGAGAATCGTGCCACCTATTATCTTTGCACAGGCTGCTGCTTAAAAGGATGCCTTGGGCAAAATCAGGGAAAAGCAAAGCAAACACTCTCTGATCTGCATTACCACAGGTGAAAATGTAAAATATTTCACCTCTGTGCGAAAGGCTTGAAAGGTGGACAAAGAGGGGAAAGGAGGTGGGAGGGGAAGAAGGGAGAGAGAAAGATCTCATTTTCGTACCAGAAGTGCTGAAGGAGAGGGCAGAGTGGATTTGCCACAGTCACGACGTTGAATCACTACCACTTACCTTGTTTTAAATGGTTTTGCAATGTGGTAATCCTTGGCTTCGGCCCCCCTGCTTTAACTCTTAAACAAAACAGATGAATTGGCATCGTGTGGCACCTTCCTGCTCTTCCCAAGCCTTTCCAAAGCGGATTGTTATAGGAATGCATGACTCAACTCCCCATTGTCATGGCTCGCAGCGTGCCGTGCAGCTGCAGAGGAAAGCCGTGATGGCCCCCACTTTGCCACCGTGCCCTCCCGTGCCACCCGGGAGGAGAAACCTTCCTGTCCTCATGGACTAAAGGGATCTCCCAAAAATGAGGCGGCTGGGTGTGAACCCTAGCAGCGCTTTCTCCGAGGGTGCCGGCTGGCAGATGGTGGTGGGCGCGCCGGAGTTGGGCAGGCAGAAAAAGAGGGAATGAAATGGCAAAAGGCAGAACAAAACTTTTGGATGCTTGTGAGTGTTTTCTGCATGGTCGTTCCGTCCAATCAAGATTCTTTCTTTTCTCTTTGCTCTGGGAAACATCACAGAATCAGATGAAGAGTTTGGGAAGAGAGTGTGGGTTCCCTGTGCAGAATCCAGTGACGAAATCCTTGAACAAGGTAAGACCAAGGAGATTATGGCTGCGAACGTTTTCCTTTCTTCCTTTCCCCCTTCCAAATCCGTTATTGCGGCCTTCGTTGCAAAATTTAGGATGTGTGATTGATATTCCAAGTGCTAAATGAAAGAGTCTAGAAAGATCAAGCTAAATAGGGCTTCTTTTTAATGCATGCTACTGTGATAGTTTTGCTTTTAGAATGGTTTGTATTGTATCCAAATGATCTATGTGTGAATAATTGTTACCAACCTCCTGACACCAGGACCTAATTAGGAAGTAAGAGCTTTAAATAGGCCATTTGCGTAGTGAGCTTCCATATGTCTCTTTGCGCAATTTATTTGCTTCACTCCATTGAGATATAATGAGAATGAAACTCCTAGAACTGCCTTTGACTCTAAGGCTCTCCTCTTCATCTTCACTATAGGTATAGCCCCCTATTAAGAAGATAATATCTGGTTCCCTTTGTTCAGAAAGAAAAAGCTACTGGGCTGCTAACCTTATTCCAGATTGCACAAGTTCCTCTCTTTCCAAGTTTCCAATGGAAATAGAATGAGAAATAAAAAGAAACAAACAGCCTAAGAAAAACGTAATGATGCCAGAGAAAGCACTATGAAGCTTTGGACAGGCTGATCTTGAGGGAGTATTACCTAGGAAATCTAGGACTCCTCAAAACCCTGTTAAAAAACTAATGTCACTGTGTTTCAGTTTAATGTATAGGTAAAATAGAGTTCTGTGTTGGTTCTGTTTGGGTTTCTTCCTGTAAGGATATGAGGAAGGGGGAAACATTGGTTTGGGGCTGTTTTTGTTACGGCTTTCTTTGGAATAGTTAGCTCAGTCTGGACCAGCATGCTTTCTGGGGCTCTCTCTTCATTTTATTTTACAGAGCAAAAAATGTGTGACGTTTTAAACATGGATACAGAAAATACCCTTTATTTCAGAATTCCTCTCAAACACGTGACTCCATCCCGTACTTCAAGTGTCCGGCTTCATTCTTTTATTCTCATCATCTCTGAAGTCAGCAAAACTTACGCATATAATTGTATGCCATTTTCTGTGGGGACAAACTTTAATGAGTGCTCAAGGATTTTTTTTTTTTTCTCCCTCCCCCCTCCCCCCCTGATCAGGGCCTTATTTAGTTTCCCAGCAAAAGTCAGTTCCACATGCAGTGATTTTGTTTATGATAATTTACTTGCATGTTCCCTTCCAGGAATTGTCACTGCCTTCCAGAAGGGAGGTTAGCGCTGGTCCCCTCGCAGTGATAATTATAATCAGACCTGTCAGCCTTCACACAGTCTACGCTTATCACTTGCATTTAGGAGGATTTTTCCTGAAGCCTATTACCAGTGCTGCTTCTTAGGGAAAAATAGTCATGATTTTCCTGCTAATCTTTGATGGCTCTCAGCTTTGAAAGCAGTACGAGTAGCAAAATGACTGCCAGTTGTAGTTAGAGGTGCTGTCTGTTGGCCCTGGTATAGAGCTCTGCATCTGGAGAAGGAGGGAGGAGGCACTGGGAAACGCTGAGGGGGTTAACGTGGCTGTGACAAGTCTTCAGGTGTGTGGGAGACACAACGCAATTGCGCTTTTCCCAATTGCAGCGCTCACAGACACCGGATCTGCAGACCTGCTCTGGGTAGGAGGCAGGCGGTGGCAATGGCAAGGTCCCTCCCTGCAGTTATGGGCAGGGATCTGTCGTTTTTCCAGTGTCGAGCCGCTCAGCTGTGGGATGACCACAGAAACAGCTACGGTCCCTGATGCAGTCTGGGAGGATGGACTCACTACCATCGCTGATGGGCTCCGGCAGTCCAGAGCATAAACGTGACCTGTTGAAATCCTTCCCTCTGGGCCAAAGTGGTGGTGTCTGTTAGGATGTGATTCTGGGTTTCTTTCATCAGCCCAAAACATTTGAAAATGGTCCACCCTGGTGTTTCTCCTCGGAAGTCACATCCCACAATTTACTAGATTTCTCCCTTTTTCATCCTCTTAGTCCTGTTACTAAATAAACCCCCTCTCTTTGGTGTCTGCTGTGTTTGCTACCTTTAAAAAAATAAGTCAGTTTGCAGCATTGCGTTGTATCGCTGTGTTCTTGTTAATGTTCTCAGACCTGAGGTCTGAGAGGTCTGAGCTCCCTTGATTTTGGTAGAACTAGAGGACGGTCAGTACAGAACAGTTTTGGCACCAAAAGAAATGGCGGGACAGTGAGAACTCTAGTGTTCTCTGTGATTATGTATTTACTCTGTGCGGGGATATGATTTGCCTTTCTTTTATTTAAATTCACTGAGAACTAGCGATTTATTTATCAGATGTCACTCCCTGAAGGAAGATAAATGCCACATAGCAAAGGTTTCATCTATTATACAAATAGATGTGAAGGCTGTTTCTATTGCGTTTCTCTGGCTGCTGTACGGGAGTGAAAATGCCTGCGGCTGAACAGAGGCAGAATGATCCTTAGCAGTAGCATCTTATGACCTTTTGATCAGCTGAGATCTCAAGCCATATTAGTGGACAGATTATGATGTGATGGAAAGAGGTCCAGGAATAGCCTTTTTATCATGAGATCCTTCCTGTGAATATCCTCCTTTGGTATATTCAGGTGGTTAATCACTAGGGCCAGGACGATGATTTGGAAACAGGGAGGTGAAATGTTGATACAGGCAACCCAAACACATTTGAGTCTGCCAGCTACATTTGGGTATTGCAGCGTGCAGTTTCTCCCTAGTATTCTCCTGCCTTCCTCTTTCTGTCAGGGCTGTGGGTGACATTGCAATATTTTCTGTCACTAATAACCACATTTTGGCAGAAAGATCTACACAAAATGGGCCCTGCGTCCTCGGACCGCAGGGGCGCTGCAGTCCCTGAATCCGAGGTATGCATGTTGTGAATATGGATCTTCAACTGTGAAGGGAAATATTCACGTGGAAATGTCTCTGTATCATTTTTCAGATCATAACAATAATATTCAAGCCTATTTGAACCCTGTTTAGAAAAATACAGACTTTAAAAAATGCACCGCCCTGATAGGAATATTTTCTGTGGAGCCTCAAATCTTGTCAAACAGAAGCAAGGATAACTTTTGTATCAGCCTTGCCCGTCTACCTGGGCAGGATTACTCCTTAAACTTTGCTGTAGGCTTAAATTAGCCCCCTTTTTATCTTAATGATCAATATGAATCTTCGGCCTCCTTGAGAACTGGGCATAAAAGAGCGAATAGGCAGAAGGCCTGGCAGCGTGTGAATCCCGAACGGATATCGCTGCGAGGGGGGATGCTGATGCACCAGGTCTGCAGAACAATAGCTGCCACAGCCCTCTGGAAACTCTTTGAAAATAAGAAGGTTATGGAGGTGGAGAAAACGCACAGCAGGACACTGGCTCCTGTTATCTCCCCCAGCCTCTTCAATCAGGTGCCTGCTGGGCTTCCCACTCCTCCTGCTTTTTGCACTAGATCATAGGATCGTAAGGCATTAGACTGCTGGCATTAAGTCATCCTCCATCCTCCTGGCATTATAGCTCCCTGAGTCAGGGAGCTGCAAAGAAATGTTGAAGCGGGGAGCCCACATGGTGCTTTTAACTGCAGCTGGCAGGGCTACAGAGGTGTCCAAATAGGGACTGCAAGGGTTCACCAGGTGCCTGAGACGTGTCTCCACCACCTTTTCCTCAGAAGAAGCGTGCGCATTTATTTAATAAGAAGTCCCACTGAAAGTCAGGGAGAGAGTGTCGTTGCTGAACTACAGCTCATTTGCTAGGAGAGGATGCTCCCTCCCAGGTCCTATCTGCAAACCACTGATGAGTTAGTTGCTAAAGGGGTAATGCCGGTGGACAAGTTCTGGAGGCTCCTAAGCACAACGGCTCAAAGAAACGGCATGGTGCGGGAGCAGCTAACGCCACTGCGCCTTCTGCCTGACGCGCCCGGCCCCGTATACTTGGGTCTTCGTGACGTGAGCGCTTGCGTTCACCTCCTTGTAGCGCAGAGGGACCTGTGGAAGTAGGCTCACTCTGCTCTGAGCAACTCGGTGAAGACGTTCACGAGGGACGGAGATGTGGGTTTCCTCCAGTGTCGTACGCTTAGAGTGCGTGGTAACTGTTCAAGGTGGGATGCCTTTTTTTTGGCTATGCAATGTGAAACTGCAAGTGTTGCAAATACAGGCAGATGGCGGGGTGTAGGATGGGAAAAAGGGGACAGTGCCTTGTTTATGAAGTTGAGCTGCCCATGTATAACACCTTTGTCATTCATAAAGATGTAACATCTCTTTCCTTGTGATTATTTGTAGATTACAGACGGTAGTAATCTCTAGTTTCTCACTGAATAAGCGTGATATGAAACAGCAAAAGAGTATTGTTATAACTGAATTTAGAACCATACAGCTCCCTTCACGTCACTGGAAAGTGGTGCTCTTGGGCAGAAAAAAGGGAATTTGTTGGACATTTATGTCATGCAAGTGTCGAAGGCCTCATCTGTCTTAAGCAGATTAAACAGTGTCTGGGAATGTTGCTCAGCACAGGAGCATGGCTGGGTATACTCAAACTACTAGACCAGTCCTTGGCGCACTTTTGGTCCATGGCAACTAGCAAACTCCTAAATCATTCCTAAGCACGGGTCAGGGTTCACCCCAGTAAGCTGTTTGCACTTAGCTGCTTTGTTAGGGAAGCGAAGACATGGGTTGCTAGCAGAGATATGAACCGTTCTGTGCCAGTTGGCCTCAATGCCTGGGAACGTCTCCGGGCACATTTAATTTACTAGTGGCTGAAGAGGCTCAGACCCAAATGAGAAGCTAAACTCCATTGTCCTAAATTGCATTAGTCATCAACAGAAAGGAGGGGCACCATCACAGGCTGATTCAGGATCTCTAGATCCTGACCTGTCTAAACGGGCTGTGGCCCAAACCTAAGGCAGCTAAGCCTACAGTGTTCAACATATTGGTAGCAGACTTTCAATCGTGATACTGTTATCCCAGAAAAGGCTGCATTTCCATTTTTTGGGGCATCTTTGGCAGCAAGCAGCAGCAGAGG